GGAAGGAAGAGAGTCAAACATACGTGTTGGAGGTGGTTATAATTAATACAGCAACTACTACCGATACTACTAGTAACATGATTATTAATGTGTTTATAATATGGAATTCATTCCCTTTTTTTTTTTTCTTTCTTGTTTCCTCAGCGTTTGAGCTTTTTTCGAAGCATCCGGGGACGGTTTATCGCTTAGGTGTTATTTGTCTTACAAGAATTATGCGGTACGAAGCTATGCCGATTCAGTTTGCGTGTGCCAAAGGAATGAATGGTGGGGGAGGGGTGGGGCATTGAGAGACGCGCACCTCAGGGAAGTGGTGGTGTTTTATTTTTCGTTTTTTTTTTTTTGTTGTTGTTGTTGTTTTTGTTTTTGTTGTTGGTTCGTGCGTGTGTTTTTTGTTGTGTTTTGTTTGTTTTTTTTTTCGGTTTAAAAATATTTGGTTATAATTAAATTTTTTGTTGTTTTTCTTTTCGTTGGTGGGGCAAGAAGGGTTGTGTTCCAATTGAGCCGCTTGTTCTGCGTGACGTCCTACGATTTTATGCCCCCTTCATTTCCCACAGTGAAAGACGTATTGTTTTTTTTTTTTTGTTTTTTTTTTTCTACTCTTTTTGCGTGTGTCTTTCTTTTGTTCATGAAATAAAATAACTTTTTATTATTTTTTTTTTTTTTCTTTTTGGTTCTGTCGCTTCCGCACTGCGGGGCTGCGTTGGTTTGGTGTTGTTGCTTCTTTTTTTCTTCCCCTTCCTTCTGTGTGTGAGTGTTTATTCTTCTCTTTTTTTCTTTTTTTCTTTTTTTTTATTATTTTTATTGAATCGCTCTTAGCGGTAGCGGTGGCGAATATGTTGTACCCGCCGCAGAAGAGCGTTTTTTCCGCCGTCGGCCAGGACGGCACGCAACTCCACGGCGACAGCATGGCGCTGCTAGAGGCGTCGTCGACTCGGTATATTCAACAACTTGAGGTGGAGGTGGCGGAGCTCACGCAGCAGTACGACGCCGCGTGCCAGCTGCTTTACCACGCCGTACTTGTGCAGGACGCGTCGGCGATTGTGATGGATGAGTGCGAGGCACGAGGTCTCATCGTAAAGGACGAGTCGGCCGCCCACAGCGAGTTATTGTGGCTCTTCTTCCGGGTAACGACAATGCGGCGACAGGTGGAGTCGGCCATGATGCCACGGGGCAGCGAGAGGGCCACTGCGCCGCCGCAAACCGAGTCAGCGATGAATTGGGGCAAAATACCCGAATGTGTTGTGAATGCACTGCAGGGTTCACTTCGGGAAGAGAACGAACGGCTCACGAGGCTGCTGGAGGCGATCCCGCAGAGGGTTTGTAGCGCACTGACAGTCAGGGATGCAGCGGGCGTATTGCCGGTGACTTCGCCGTCAGCGAGCCATGACTTAGCGCAGGCCGATGCAGCTCGCAACGGCTCCACGGATGTCAAGCAGCACCTCGAGAGCATCGTAACGCGCATTGATGAGATAGTCAAGAGCCTAAGGCAAACAGGCAAGCCGGATGCAGAGCCCACGCGGACGGAAGATCTTGTAGGAATTCACGTTGCGTCGCTGCAGAATGTGGTGAAAAGCTTAGAGAACTTGTCAATACGTATAGAGGAGATATTAGACCGATACAATAATGATGTCAATTCCAATTCTTCCCCTCGGTCAAATCAGACGCCAAAAGCAGAAGAACTGCGCGCATCCCAAGCAGAAACATCATTTTTGACCTCTAAAGTACCCCAGGATATGCCGCTACTGCGGAGACTTGCATACAGTTCAGTTGCCACACTGGAGTCTTTGTTTTCGGAATACATGCTTGCGATTGAGCGAATGCAGATGATGGCTGAAAAAGAAATGCATGTTTTCTCGTCGGTTCAAGATCGGTGGAAAATGTTGCGGTGGAATGCATGTATGGAGGAGAAGGCATGTGAGATCCAACGTCTTCAGCGTGAGGTAGAGAGACTAGAAAGCCAGTCAGTTATTAGAGATGCCAAGGATGATGCGGCTGCCAATACCAATGCTGCGACTACTACCAATGCCACACAAGCAACCAAATTCCCGCCAGCGCTTGCTCAGTTGTACGCGAAGTTTGCGGCTCCATTTATTCCAACAAACGTACGCATACCTCGGGCTACGAAGATGAAGAGCATTGTCACGCTGCGCACGGAGGCAATGCGCGTGGGAGCCCGTCCGGCTTCAGCGCTCTCTGCTGCTGATGGTGAAGCCGCTCTTGTGGCCCCTCAAAGTACTGCTTTGGTTGTTCGTGGCGCCGATGCCGCTTTCAAGGGGCAAAACTCGTCCGGCACCTCAAAGCCTGAGGTGGAGAAGAAAGACAATGGTGTTCCGCCACCAGAACAACCGGCGCGTCACACGTCGGTGGAATCCGCCGCCTCTTCCGCTAGTTGGAATGCGACGCAACAGGAAGAAGTGCATCAAAAGAAAGCCGAAGAGAATGTGGCACCGCAGAAGTTGGACCGTTATGCTTCCGTGTCGCCACGTAGCGCTGCCACCATCAGCAGCGGCGCGTTACCGGAGGATGTTGCTGTGATGACTGATGATGGCGCCGCCAGAAAGGCCGCCAGCCCCTCAGTAGTAGTGGGTGAGAAAAGAGAGAGCGGAACGATGGGCATTGTTATCCGTCGGCTGCAGCGAGATGGCTCAATGTCAAGCTGCACCACTTCTGGCACTGACGGCACCATTTCCTCTGTGCAAGTTGAGGGCGGTGAGGCACACGACGACACCCACGGGGCATCAAAGCCGGCGGTGGTAGAGAACTCATTTGACGAGAGTAGTGACGTCCCACCCAAGACACGTCAGAGTGAGTTGGTGACATCTTTTAGTGGGGCAAATTCAAAGAAAGACCGCAGGAGTGATGGCGTGGATAGCCCCGCCTTCGCCGTTTTGTTAGAGGGGAGAGGAAAGGAACTGGCGAGCGGGTCGCAACAACCGATCAACCAAACTGTCGAGTCAAGTTCACTCTCCTCCACATCCATCACGCTGACGCTGGACACCTCGGAAAAAAGCGGCAATAAACGCCAGCGAACAGCAGCGAAACGAAATGAGAGGACGCGCAATAAACGCCTCTCCTCGGACTGGGATGATAGTTCTCCGAGGGATGTCGTCGGCGAAAAGAAGAAGGGGGCCAAGAGTCATAGCCCCAGCACTCGCGCTAGAACGGTTGTCTCTGGCTTAAAGGCTCTTTCTTTCACCTCTCATCGATGATGATAACTCCGTCACATTATTTCATGTACGCAATTTTTTTTCATTCTTTATCTCTTTTTTTGTTGTTTTTGTTACTTCTTGTGTGTGTGTGTGTGTGTGTGTGTGTGTGTGTGTGTGTGTGTGTATTGGGGCGTTATTTTTCCTTTTCACTGCCACCTGCCGTTCTTCCCTGGCTTGTTGGTTGTGTATGCTTTATAAATATGGTGTCGTTATATGGCTTGGGCGACAATTTCTGCGCCGCCTCTCTGCTTTCCATGCACTTTTATGCACAGGAAACATTTTGGCTTCTACCCGTCTTTTTTTTGTGGGCGATTCTTGCCGCAATCTTCTTTCATTCCTTCTTTTTTTTCTCTCTCTCTTTACTCCACTTCGGGTGCACACAACTGACTTGGGAGACCTTCTCCCTCCATGTTTTTTTGTTTTCTCTTTTTTTCTCTCTCTCTGTGTGTGAGTCTGGGAATTAAAGGGGATTGAAAGGGGTGTTGTCCCGATGTCGGTAAACTTCTGTTTTGCCACCGGTTTCTTCATCCTTTTCTTGTGCGTCTTGCTGACTGCATTTGAGCCCTGGCTGCGATGCGATGATGTCTTTGGGCTGGACGGCGACGACCATATCAGTGTGTTGCGCAATGGCGATGCTGTGTTCATTGATGCCGTCGTTAATAAAGGGTTCTTTTCTCAAACAAATGAAGGTGGCAACACATCCAGTGATGATGCAAAAACATCGTTCAGTGCCGATGTCGACACAAATCAAGTCCTGGCGGTGATTGTCATGAGTGCCCCGTCCCTACCGGAGGGTGTTATCAGCAGCATCACCAAGGCACGACTTCTGCACGGTGTTCGCACAGCACTTTTGGCTGGAGCGCCATGGATTATTGTTCCGGGCAGCGTAGAAGAGCGGCGAAGCGCTGAAAAGTTCTTATGGGAGTTGCGATCTCCATCGGAGGCACTTTTTCCCGATGCCACGTTGTCAGAGCTGCCAGCCAAAGTTCAGAAACTTGCCGTGCAGATGCGGGACTCGATGTCTTTTGACACGTCATTGAAGAATTGGATCCGGCATGGGCGGTTATTGAAGCGTCTGTCGCACGCTTCTCATGTGGACGAAGAAATGAAGGTGGAAGACATGTCGTCTCCGCGTTTACTGCGCTACGGAGCTGCTGAATGGATTCTCCCCGGTTTTCTTTGGGGCGAGGCGGGCCAGTCGGAAGAGGCCGAAACGATGACGTACGCGGAGCAGGCCGTGAGGCTTATGAAGCAGCGGCTTCTTGCGGTTCATGCCGATTTCCAGAACGAAGACGGTAAAGAACGACCGATAGAAAAGAACGCGCGGGCACACCGTGGCTGCTTTAATGTCATTGTCGTGAGTAGCATGCACAATGAGCGGTACGCTCGGGCTATGGTGTACAGTACCATTCGCCGTGACTGGGGGGCATCGTCCTCACTGGGCGCATCGCAAAAGTCCGTTTTGCAAATAAAACAGCAAGAACAACAGAAACAGATTTTCTCCGAGTGCATTCACGTGCTTGTTACTTCTGCTGGTGACGTGGAACCCACGTGGGAGGTCCCATCGCCTTTGTTTGTCCGCGGGCCGATTCAATCGATGGCAAATTTTTCTCTACAGTCTAGTTTTGTGGCGCGGTTCCTGGGCGTCTACGCACATGCCATCCATGCAAACTACCGGCGTTGGTTTGCGTGCATGCAAGTTAGCCTGCTGTCGTACGGACCACTCAGCCTCATCTACGAGATATGCACGATTATTGTGGCACACTTAACCGAGACCTTGTCGGTGCGAGACCTTGCGTACTCCACCTTTGATCAACCCAATTGAAGTCGAAAAGAGGGAAGCACAAAAGA